TGACCCAGGAGTTATGTTGCATAATTTTTCTCATTTAGCCGTCGAGGCCATCACATAGTTGATGATTATCAAAGAATATTTTAATTTTTCCCGTCTCGCCACACATTATTTCTAGTAAATTACTTTGTGTTTGTGTATGCGTTTATATACACCAGAATCCGGTTTTTATTTGTTTGGCTTTTGTTAAAAGTTTATCAAAAACTTTGTCGAAATATGTTGAACATTGAGATTTAATTGAATAGGAAGTGTACTATTAATATTTATTTCATAATATGTACCTCTTTCCCTCTATCTTTTCGCTTTTCTACTTTCTCATAACTTCATTTTTTGCTCACATTTAAATGGATTGTAACATAGACAAGTACATTAGTCTTATAATGTAAACAAAAAATTCATCTCGTTATTAACTTTTGACATAAGTTAAAGCGTTAAGTGTGTTTGCTCCACTTCAATACCGAGTGAATCCGTTTTTGAATTAAATCAGAGCACATGACTGAAATGTATTCGCAGCGGAAACCAACTGAAACATAAACAAAAGAAATTATTTTTCGATGAAGCAATCAGCATTTTAAGTGAAAAGTTTTACATGATTTGCGAATTTTGTGCATTTGCTTTGACACAACGACAAAAAATTATTATCACAATTTCGATTTTATACATCTCTTCCTACAGATTTTCCAATGTTATAAACAGCATAAACATAATAAATAACACGCTATATTCTCATTGGGGGAGGAAATAACACGAACTGCAGAACTTTTGAGTTGAATGAATTACATGTCATTCTTGATAATAACATCATTGGATCAAACAACAAAGAAAAGTGCATCAAGGTTTTCTTTTTTAAAGTCTCAAAAAATGAACTCAATAAAAAATATAATAAAAATATATAAATTCACTGACAAACAAATAAAACTCAAATCTGAATATGTAACTTTTCTTTGTCGAGTAACATATGTCGAATGTGAAGCGTTTTGATTCGAAACTTACAGCATAAAATGGATCAATCAGAAGGAAGGGAATTGGAGCACTGTATGCACGTGGTTATGAGAAAAAAATTGGCATAACGAGATGAAAAGAAAAATTGCATTTGTGACCGGTGTTTGCACCTCTTCTTCATAAAAAAAACGATGTACAGACATAATGAGGATGATGAAATTCTCGATGTAATACTTTGAAGTCATTTCTCATGTGAGTACATTTTTGTTTTGCATCAAAACATCTGCATACCGTTTTAGCTTTTGGTTATTAACTTGTTCGGCTTTGTGAACGTTCAAAAAATGTCTGTCGCAATGTACATATTGTATTTGCAGGGTATTAGATCTGTCGTTGAACTTAGATTGTATAGTAAAAACATTGATTTTTCATGAGCATTTTGAGTTATGACATTTGAAATACAAACACTGTTTGTCTGCTGCACACCGGCACAGTGGTGCATATATCTGAGTTATTCATGCAAATATATAAATTATTATATAAAAAAAACTTTTTCTAATGCATAGCGATTTAGACGTGTTAGTTTTATTTCACGCAGAATTAGTTTGGAGTTTGGAATGGTGCCGGGCGGAAACTTTGTTCGAAAAGCAAATAAAACTTTGTCAGTAAAATTATATATGCCATACATATAAATGTGTGTGTGTGTACAAATTTTGTGGATAGAATGTTAGGTAGATGAATGTCGTCAACGTGATGTTCATCTATATCGATCGCCGGCAGTATTCTCTCTTACTTCTTTGCCACTGCGAACTGGTATGTGTGTGTGTGTGTGTGTGTGTGTGTGTGTGTGTGTGTGTGTGTGT